TGGCCAGTTTTGTTCTCTGGCCAGGGCTGGCCACGTCAGGCAAGACCATCAGTAAGCAACGCTAGGAAAACAACCTGCCCCAAGTGTCCAGAAGTGTCCCTAACTCAGCCTTAAAAGAAGAAAAAGTGCAGTTGCCTTTGTTTAAAAATAAAAAACAAAGCTGTATTTTTACAGTGTCTCCATGTGCCTGGACAATGTGAACTACAAACTATATGGAATGTCTGAAAACTATGGCAGCACAAGGGTTGCAGACTCTGAAACACGTAGGGGCGCGGGCTCAGGAAGACACGCAGGAGGTGCTGGCACGGAGTGAGAAGGGCAGAGGGAAACATGGCGGGGGCGGTGCCAGAACGGGACACCCCTGAGGGGGATGGAAGCAATGCTTTGGAAGATGGCTCAATGTTTTTGGAGTTTGCTTCCACATGAAATCCCACCATGGAAGTGCCTGAGACAAATGTGCAAACGTGCTCCTAAACCTCGGAGAAGCAGGCAGCCACCGGGGCAGAGCAAGGGTGGATGTGAGCTTGCCACAGGAGCCGAGAGGGCCGGGGGAGCACGGCAGGCCTCACATACCTACCTCACTGGGCTGCCCCCCCACACCTGCTGCCCGAGATACACACAGCTCACTGTGCGCCGGCGCCAGGGGTCAGGCCCCAGGCTGCCCAGGCCTGTCGCCACACCCGTGCACACCCTCTCCTGCTGCCCTGCCCATCATGTCTGTGCCACAGGATGCAGGGCGCCAGCTGTGCTGCCACTGCTTGGTGATGTGGTGACAGCAGCAACCCAAACCCATGAAGGCAGAAGGCCCCAAGGAAAGGTGGAGACGGGTCTTGGCTGGACCCCTGGGCCCTCAGTAATTCATCCACACCTGCTAGGTCAGGCAGGAGCCAGGGCTACTTCCTTAGAGGTCAACACTTGACACACCCAATGCAGGCATGATTAGTTCTAGTCCCTTAACATTACAGCACCCATATTGCAAGAGCACTTACACAGCCCACCAATTTCTCTTTCTCTCTGAATGTGATCAGTTCCAACAGGGCAGACATACTGTGCACCCACCGACCTTCCATGAATGACGCCTACACCACACTGTGTGAGCCTGGAAAGGCCGGGCAGGAGGAATGCTGCCCCGCGTGGGGTTCCCACGTCGGCACAGGCCAGGTAGACAGTGGGAGGCTCAGGAGGAAGGAATCCGCGCTGAGGGCCAGCATTGTGCATGCGCCCTCCAGGCTACTCTGGCACCCGTGGCCCTGGGACCGGGCTCTCCCACTGGGCCACTGAGTGAGCCTGTCCTTTAGCGTGGTCACTGACACCATCAGAGCAGCAGGGCCTGCACTCTCACTGTCTGAGTGGCCCTCACGCACACTCAGTGGCTTATACAGGAGTGAGCGTGCCCCTGACCACTGATCTGCCAATGCCTCCAAACACTGGGCTAACCCTAACACTTCCAGCTGGACCCTGCTTATCTGCACCATCACCATTTCTAGCCTAAAACCCACACACCCGCACCGTTCACGTGAGCAGTGCGTGAAGCTCATCCTCAGGCTAGACATGAAACCACTAACCCTGACGCGGTTGCCTTTTTGTGAATGAACTCTAACATAAATCCGTCTCAATCTGCGTTTTCTTTTTTCCACCCTTTTCCCATGGTGCATGTGAACCGTTTGCTAATACTGTGCAATCATTTTGTGCATTGACAAAAGGGAATGTTGACTATGTTCTGATTTTTCCTATTAATGAAGCAGCTAAAAACATTACCTCAGCCTTTTTCTTTTAGTTGGGAAAATAGCTTGGTTATTTACAAAATGAAAATAAAATAATTTTCTTTAATGAATGTTTAAATCAGACCATTACTATATATTTCACTAACTGAAAGCAAGGGACAGTGTTGAGATTAAGGAAAAATTTTGCTCCTTTTAGTAATAAATATTGTCATTTGAAATTTGGAAAACTTGCATCCTTGTATAAGTAGTGTCTTTAATGCAAGTTCCTTCTAGTGACAAAATTATGAGCTGGATAATTGCAACTTACAGAACTGAGCCTCTGTTAACCAACAGAGTCCCTCTGTCACATTTGGAGGATCTTATTTGAGTAGGAAAGCTCTGTGAATATGAATCTGAAATGTGCCCCCCACCTTCTCTCACCAGCTTTTCCTATGTGTTTAGGCTAATAACCCTGTTCACCATCTCAGGTTCCTCACCATAAACTGAGTGCCTGAGGCCTCCTACCCCATTCAGGCCTCACCCCCGCTCTGCCAGCTAACGGCCCAAGGATCTCACAGTATATTTTTTCCAAACTTGTTTTAATTTTCTTAAACTTCAACATCTGTGCTTCTCATGGGGCGGCTGTACTGAGTGTCTTTCTTCCCCATGAGTTTCTCTGCCTCGGAATCCTGCTGACACACTGCGGGGTCTCCAGCCCTGCTCCCGGGTGAGATCCCTTCCCCACACGGAGTCCCACGCCACATACAGCTCAACACGCCCATCCTCAGCCTGACACGACAGCTTCCAAGGTGGCTTCTCACCTGGTCCCAGCACCTGTGGCCACCAACTGTTTTGGGCAGTGCCTTGGCTTCCGGCTGGACACCATGGTCACACCCCAAGGTCAGACCCTGGACAGCCTGGACTCGAAAGGCACTGCCGAAGCTCTCATGCAAAACAGAAAAAAGGATGACTGTGGTCTGTACTCGAGATAAGATGAGACTGATCTCTGGTGATCAACCACCTACGCACAGCTTGCTTCCCGATTTGACACCTGGGAAAGCAGAAGTTATTAGAGAGCCTCTTCCATACATGGAACTCAGCAATGGACAGCAGCTGGATTTCAGCCTCACTGGAGCTAGAGCTGATCCCTTTTCCTTTATGCCAGTGAACAAGTGTCCCCTCCCTGCCACCCTCTGATGTAATCAAACACTTGGTTACCTTCTCATTGCAACACATCTCACATGGGCAGCCTCTTGAAGTGGTTAGCTTTCACCAGCAGGCCCACCCAATATCTGGTCCCTCAGTGTACTTGTATTGTCAGCTAGCCACTGGTTTTCTGCTTGTACCAACTTGGTATTAAAAAAAATCACATGTCCAATTGCAATAAACATCACTGTCAACAGCTTTTAAAAACCAACACTTCAACCCCTGCGAATTCCTCTTACTTCAGCCCGACCCAGACAGGAGGTGCTCCTGGGAAGTGGGGAGAGCGGAAAACTCGTCACATTCGAAACCCCACAGAGCTCTTCCAGAAGCCCCGGCACGGTGTCCACAGGGCTGACGTGGCAGGGCGATGGGCACCAGTAAGAAAAAGGGTGGGAAACCACCAGGGGGTGGGTATAAGGGGGGCTTCCCAACAACGATCAGCCAACCGAGGGCCTTGCCCACCTGGACATGGCCGCCTCCTGTGGTTCCGGCTCCAGCAAGGCAGGGGCTGCATGCTGGCCACTCGTGGCCAACGTGGCTGTCGGGGTGTCAAGAGCATTCAGTTAGGCAACCCAGTCACTGACAAACAGGACAGCAGGCGTGGCCGCTGCGCCTGGGGCACCGAGGTCCTGTGCTGATTCCCAACTCCCCGCTGCTGCAGACCGAAGGCACCGTTCCTGGTGTTTTAATCACAGCAATTAAACAGCAGAGACAGCAACTCTCCTGGAAGCGTTTCTTTACTCCTCCTGGTTCTGATCAACCTCTTCACTCAAACTGCATCTTCAGCAGCAGCCCCATGGACATGACAGCAAAACACGTACTTGTTTGTACAGAGGCTTCTCTGGAGGGTGCTTTTCTTTCAACTTGGTTGGTTAAAAATTACCTTCTTTCCAGTCTTTTAGCTATAGGCTCCTCTAAGAAAAGTGGCCTCTGATAATAGACAACTGTGTTGAAGCCAGTAAGATCTCCCAATTATTTCCTGCCTTAGCAGCGGCACGATCCAGCCTGGTGTGCTCCTGTCACACAGTCAGACAGCAAGGCCAAGGGATCTGCATGCAGTTCCTGGGGGCCAGCTGCGGCGCTCACCTGGCTTTTCAGCCGTCCTAGGAGCTTCCATCTGGACTCTACACAGACTGTCAATAAAGGACTCAAACTGCCCCAGGACCCAAGGGAAGTGCCACAAATAAAAGCGAAACGCAGAATCCCTGACCCTTCCTCCCATGCCAACCAACCAGGCGCCATGCTGGCTAACACCCACCTGGCCTCTCCCCTATGACCAGGGTTCCTTTGGGCAATGCAAGGCACACACCCAGAGGGAGGCTCTGGTGGGCAGATGTGGCGGGCAGGCTATTGCAAGAAGAGAGCGTCTCACTTCTGATCAGCCTGCAAAAGCCCATTTCCCCTCCGGGTCCTGTTAGAGCACAAGCTCACACCAGTGGGAGCTGGTTGGAGCCAAGCGTCATGAGAAGGTAAAGGCAAGGTGGAAGGAGGGGCTGCTGCTGGATTACGTTGGCCCCTGTTCTTCCACTGAAGCCCTGGCCCACGCCCTGCTCTGCTGGAGGGAGGTATTCCCTTTTGAAAAACAAACAAACAAACCAACAAACAAAAAAACAGGTAAAGTATGGGATGAATGGGATGTTGGCCCTTAACTAAAAACTAAGATCCTACATTCTCATTGTTGCAGATATTTAAGATGAAAAAATGCACCAGGTAGTCATTCAAAGCCCAACTTTTGACCCCAAATTTAAAAATGAAAAGCAGTCTCCTGCCACTCACCCTGGAGCCGGCACCAGCCAGCATGTTAACACACCAGGACTTCTGCTGTGAGAAACCTCTGCCCCCAGGCCAGGCACTACACAGCAACTGCATGGGGGTGGACAGTGGGGCAGCTGCCTTCCGGTACTGCCCTCAGCTTTCCTTCCTCTCTGTCACTTTGCAAATGACAACCTTGAGCCCCAGGGGTGAAGGATAGAGGATGGCTCCACCACCTCCGCCCCAGCAAGGCTAAGGGATCGGTCCCGGAGGCTTCAGGTGCACTTGATCACTAAGAGAGCCCCAAGAAAAGCCAGTGGCAGAGAAGGAGCAGAACTGCCCAGCCAACAGCTATTTTATTTTATAAATAACAAGAAAACTCATACAGGCAGTCTGAGGGCTACTTCTGACAATTAAGTTAAAAAGCACATCTCCAGGTTGATAATATGCAGTCAATCAGAACGTTCATCCCCTAGCTCTGCAGAAGAGAAACCCGCCCACAGAGCACAAATGTTCCAGTCTGTATCAGAGCATGCTTCCTGGGGTCACTCCATATTCAAGTGTAGCCTGCGGTGTGGGTGGCCCACCCTCAGCCTGGCCCTGCCCTGGCAGGCCCCACCAGGACCTTGGTGCATGCAGGGCCGCACAGAAGACAACCTTTGCAGCAGCCTTGTTCCAAGTCCAGTTTATTTTAAATCACACCAGTGACGGGGAGGGAAGACAACCTCACTCAGTTTAACTTTTGGTCCAGGCTGGCGGCTCATGCTGAGTCATCAAAGAAAGCTTTTGCCATGGCATGGGCTACCTTCAGCACTCTCTTCTCCTTTGCTTCTGACCCAGCATCGTCTCGGGCAAGCCTCACCCAATACTGCTCAGTCCTAGGCAGGTAGTCTGCAAACTGCTCACCAGGCGTCACCAAGGGGTGCTGTGGCTCTTTCATGGGAAGGAGGAAAATAAAGAAACACGTTCAGCAGAGGAAGAAGGCCTGGGTCAGGCAGTGTAGGCCACCTGCTCGCGGCCTGAGGAGTGACTGTGGGAGCACCCGGATTTACAGAAATGATGCCGTGGAGCCATTCTGCACGACGACACTGCTCAAATAGCAAGCTGCTCAAACATACTCCAGATACAAATATTTTCTAAAAAACTTAGTGTGGATAAAAAGGGGCCACATGTTAACCTGACAAGCTCAGGGAAGGCCTGCGTGGCAGCCCTGCAAACTTACAGACCTAAAGTAACCACAAAGGATGGTCTGAAATTAAAACTTTTTAACTAAAAGCCATTTATGGCAGGTAGTCAGGTCCTAGGCTAGAATCATCCTTGACAAAAGTTAATCTTTATCATAACTGAGTCTGTCTATGGCAAGGGTCCTCAAACTACGGCCCGCGGGCCACATGCGGCCCGCCGAAAACATTTATCCGGCCCGCCGGGTGTTTTTGCCGCCGCTGTGTGCATAGGAATTTGTTCATAGTTTTTTTTTAAACTATAGTCCAGCCCTCCCAACAGTTTGAGGGACAGTGAACTGGCCCCGTTTAAAAAGTTTGAGGACCCCTGGTATGGGCTCTGCATCTAAGATAATGTACCTTTGGAATGTCAGGGTAACTTCCCCTTTTCCAAACCCCTCAGGGCACAACCAATGCACCAAAGCAGAGACTACAAATCCTCTTGTTATTTTTATTGTGTTAATTATTGACTATTAAATATCCTGTACCCACTTTAACTAAAAGATGTACCATTTTACTTTTTATTCAATCCCAGAGGTTTCCCTACTTTGCTTTCTCCCACCCTCCCTAATCTATCACCAATGAATTTCATGTAACCACTTATACCTTCTTTTTTTATTGTAATGTAAGAAATAAGGTGCAAAACTGCCATTCTCTGGAGCATTATCTCAACAGGTTGAGATTTTGCTTCCCGGAAATTGTTAACAGTTTGGCTCAAATAAACTCACAAAAATTCTATACAGGTTTGAATGTTTCTTATGCTGACATTAGGCTCACCTCTGAAGTGTATCTACAAAGCAGTCAAATGTTAATACTCACCCTGGTCCTCCTCACTGCTGTCCTCGTCCTCCTCGTCCTCCTCTCCGCCCTCAGCGCCCTCAGCAGCATCGCTGTCCTCCGAGTCGGTCTCCTCCAGCCACTCCTGTGTTTCTTTAGAGGAAAATGAACATCCACAGAGGGTCAGTGCAACCAGAACGAGGGGAACCGAGACTGGGAGCTGCTGAGGACCCCATCTTCTCACTAAGGAAACTCGACCTGAATGCAAGGCCCCTCACCCCAACATATCAAAATGCACTGTTTTCCCTGGATCTTAGCAGAGATGGTGAGAATAAGACTGGCAAACCAGAAGACAGAAAAAGTCTTACACCAGCTGTTTTATACCTTCCCCTAAATGTGTGGATTTTAACTTTTAGTCTCAGACCTTAAAGAAACTAGTGACTTAAGAAATGAGCATGTACCACTAGCGAGAGCCTGTGGTACGATGTGAAAGTGAGGAATGAAGGATCAGAGAGTAAGTGAGGCCCCAAGGTTCAGGTCACAGACCGGAAGGGGCTGCCTGGAGGCTCATGTGCACACAGCAGGCTGCCCACGATGGGAAGCCGACACAAGCAAAATCTGCTTTGCATCTATGGGAAGCCTGGACAGTTCTGAGGCCCACGTAAATGGTGTCAAGGGTGAGCCGGGGTCCCTGTAATGTAACCAGCCTCGCTCCCTGTGACCAGGGTCTGCTCTCACATGAACAGCCAGAGAGCACCCAGCTCATCGGCACAGGGTAGGTCTGGGCGGCACTTGGGGGCAGACTCGACAAGATGCTTTCCAAGTGCTCTCACCCAACCAAAGGAGGTGCTTCCCCCACCACAGCTCACCTGGATCCGCCTCCACCAAGACCGTCCACTGGTCCATTTTATGCAGGTCAAGGCAGTAGAAGTCGCTGAGGGTGACCTGGCGCTCACCGGCCTCAAACATGCCCCCAAAGAGGTAGAGTCGGCCATGCTTCACGGCCAGCATGGCATTGGAGCGGGGGCGGGGCTCCACCAAGGGGCCGCCTGCTTCCTCTGGGCTATCGTCCTCATCCGGCGGTGGCTGTTTTGATGGGCCTGGGGCCGTGAGCATCTGCTTAATGGTGACCACTGTCCCGTCCTCTGTGACCACCTCTCTGACCACCTCTCGAGGCGCCTGGGCACTGGCCTCCCCGCATTCCTGCTCGTTGGCTCCCTCAGGCTCTGCTTTTGTGCCCCGCCTCCGCTTCCTCTTCTCTGCCTTGGGCCCCTGTTGACAAAAAGGAGAGCAGCCCACTTCAGCGGCAGACAGGGCTGTGGGCTCCAGAGGCATGGGGAGCACCGCCCATCCGGGTGCTGGGCAAACGGCACTGGGCTGTACCCTAATCCACCTGCTGGGGTTGCCCCTTGAAGCCCACACCCAGTGTCACTCCTCAGAGAATGTGGAAGGTGGCAAGTCCAGAACAGGCCCTCACGCTCACCCCTCTCAGCAGGGCCACTGAGGCCGCTTACCTGGGCCGAGTCTCTCCACAAAGTGCTGCCTCCCTCCCTCGAGCCCTATTCCTGAGGCCGCTGACCTGACTGTCAGCTCGAGGCCCAAAGCCGCTGGGGATCCCACTACTGGGACGGAGCCCACCACTGGGACTGGTGCCACAGCAGGGACAGAGGTGATGGGCTCCCTGCTTACAGTGACAGCTCACAGAGCGGCAGAGGGACCTAGAGGCCTGGAAGGAGGAACTGGCTAACAAGACCACACAGCCTCTACCCAGTATCACCAGCGGAGGCAAGAGCCAGGTGCCATGTTAAGCTGCCTGTCTGGTGCACGATGCACCATGGAACCACTTTGGAGCCCGACTCTACCTTCAACTGTCCCGCAAACCAGCGGTTCTTGGTGGCATCGTAGAAGTACAGGTCATTGAGGAAGTCGCCCTCCAGGCTCTCCTCCTCTTCCTCATCACAGACACCCCCGAAGAGCAGCGTTTGACTGTTTGGAGCCATGGCCACAGAAAAGCCAGACCTGGGAGTGGGTTTGGTGCCTGAAGGGTTGATCCGAGTCCACACCCATCTGCCTGTCACAGGAGAGCAGGAGCTGAGGTAAGATGTAGGGATGGAGGGGTAGCAAGAACCAGCCAATGGCACAAGTGTCCCTGCTCCCCCAGTGACTAGGACAGATGAAAAAATGCAGAACTGTGGGTAAAAGTCCATCAAGTCACTCATTTCCTCCCTCTGCTGAAAAACAAAACACAATTTTCAACATCTCACTCGAAGTTTTCATTCTTTTCCTTAAGGTTCAGTTGGCACTGGGGTGTCTTTTTCACAAACCCTCCAAACACTGCGCCCTAGAAGCTCTTTCCAGATGTGGACGGAGGCAGGGATGAGACAGGCATGGAGGCTGGCACACCCAGTGCACCCAGGCCTCCGGGAGGACCCTCACTCCACCCTCCCTTTCTCCTCTGTGGGCTGCATGCCCACGGGCCACACCACTTTACGTTCTTCCCTCTGGCTTGTGTTTAATTTCTATGATCAGCATCAAAATGTAACCTAGCGTGAAACGCGGGGGAAAGTTTTCCATCACGTCTAGAAAGAAGAACCAAGATTTTCACTCCAACAAACATTAAAAACAAACTTAACAGCCCAGCGGTGTTGCTCAATGGTTGAGCATCGACCTATGAACATGCCCAGGTTGCAGGCTTAATCCCCAGTAGGGGGCGTGCAGGAGGCAGCCAATTGATGATTCGCATAATTGATTTTTCTATCTCCCTCTCTGAAATCAATAAACAAATATATATTTTAAAAAGAAGAAACTTAACAGCAGCAGCAAATGGGAAACACTGTGTCCTGCCTACATGTCCTCCATCAGCACACAGCCCAGGGGTGACTCCAGGCTGCACCCACTAGTGGCCATGAGATTGATTCATCACCACCAGCATATTAATGCTTTGAGGAAATAGAAAAGGATACATGTCAGGGGCCCCTGCACATAGCACATAGTATGACGCATGCACACAAGTGTGAGCCAGCTCATAACACACCGTGTCCTTCTCACTGTGGGGTAAGGGCCTGATGGCCAGGATGCAGGGGAAACACAGGCTTGGGGTCTCACAGCCTAGAACAAAGTTCAGCTTTCAAGTTCAAGTCCACTGATGTGTAAACTGGGTAAGTTACTTCATGACTCTAACCCTAGCTCCCACTGGGAAATGCAGACGTCCTCGCCAGTCGTGCAATGCGTGTGGCTGGCACCTGAAGCGCCTGGGTAGGAACATTTCTGAAGTCTTGGCTAAAGAATTTTAGCACAGGAAAGAGATGCAGGTACTCTGCACAGCAACCCCTCATTTTACAGAACAGAGCTCCCGGGAGACGAAGTAACTCACTAGAGGTCATAAAGCAGACCCTGATCACGCTGCATGCCTTCGGTCTAGTCCAGTCCTCTCATCACAAGACCTGCATCACACAAATGAACCACAACCTTGCTTTTTGTAAAGGAACTTTAAAAAGTGAACGTTGGAGATGTCAACCCCACCTTAAGCGGTCCAGAAGTCTATATTCTAACATCAGTCCCTTGCTCTTGAGCAAGGACAAGAGAAATGACTAGAAAGCTGTGGTTCCTGCACTCTGCAAAGGGGAGTTCATGGTTTGATAGTGTATTCAAGCCAGTCCATCCTGAACTCCCCAGAGGGTGAACACTCCTCAGCCGCCTCTGCTGTGCAGGCAGGAGGACACTTAGGGTTATTTATGGAGGGTCCGGCCTGGGATGAGGATGGCCTGTCCACTGACCATCAACCCTACAACCAGAAGGGCAGCTGGGCTTCCGTTTCTCTGCCCTGCCTTTTGCAGTGACATGCAGACCACCCACGGGCCCGTCCTCTCACAGCACCCGAACCTTCTCGTCCTTCCTCGGACTTCAGCAGGAACATATCTGAATGCTGGGTGCCTTTGTCCACATCTTTCTTGACTCTCTGAAAAGGAAAAGGGAGTCATGTGAGAACTAACAGGGCACCACCTACATCTAAGAATAGATTTCAAATTTTAAAACCCTGCCTTCTAATGACCACAATCATGCTAGAAGCACTCTACGCTTCCTTACTGGAGCTTCCTGTGGCTTCCGCAGCAATCCTGCTTAAGTGGACGGAGCTCTAAGGAGACCACCGTGGGACTGTAATGCTATCACAATACAGCTATCCTTCCATTTTCAGTCCCTGCGTATCTTCAGTTCCCATCATCCTTCAAACCATGTGAGTCAGGCTGCACTGCGAGGATCAAATTGATGCTCCAGCAGAAGCAAGCCACCACCCAGGTAAGACTTTTCCGAGCTTCTAAAACAGCTGTCTGAACCCGGAGTCTAGCTTCAAATCGCTACCATTACCCAGCCAGACCAGACACCTCATTCTACATAGCAACGTCCGCCAGGCCTCATGCCGCAGCTGTTATCTAAACACTGAAGGTGTCTCAAAAGCTACTTGGCAAATATTATCCTGGGTGGAAGGATTTCAGGGAATTAACATTTTTATTTGTACTTTAAATTCCCTATTTTTAATAAAATTTTAATTTCAGAATACCTTTATATTTGCAGAAAAAAATCAGGAGATATTATTGAGGATTCCCACATACTCCACACCCAATTTCCCTTACAGTTAACATTTTACATTAGTGTGGCACATTTCTCACAATTAATGACCCAATATTGACAAACTACTATTAACTGAAGTAATTCTTTGTCCAGATTCCCTCAGTGTCTCCCTAACGTGCTTTTCTGTTCTAGGACACTTGTTTTAGTGTCATGAATCCGTAGGCTCCTCTGGGACATGACGGTTTTTTAGACTTGCCTTGTTTGTGATGACCTTGGCAGTTTTGCAAAATGTCCCTCTGTTAGGATTTATCTGGCGTTTTTCTCACAATCAGACAGGGGTGTGGGGTATTGGGTGGTGGATCCCAATACAGCACCCTTCTCATCACATCATCTCACGGATGCATGCTGTCACCATGACTTATCACTGCCGGCATGGACCTTGACCACCTGGCTGAGGTGTATTTGTCAGGTTTCTCTCCACTGTCGAGAGACCCACCCCACCCCACCCCACCCCACCCCACACCAGCGTTCCACACTGTCTTCTTCAGAAGGACACCCTCTGAAGCCCTCACTAACCGAGCGGGAAGTCATGCTCTGCCTCCTGTTTCCCAGTCTCTATGGAACTCTGCATAGGAGTTTTGTCTCTTCCCCAATTTATCTATTCAGTCACTTGTTTATAATCGTGTGGACTCATGGTTCTCTCTATTACACTGTGGGCCATAATCCAATACTATTTCATTTTGCTGCTCAAATGGTTCCAGCTCTGGCCACTGGGAGCTCTTTCAGTTGGCTCCTGTGTCCCTCTGACACACTCCATCAATGTGGTTTCTTACAAATAGTCCCTTGGTACTACAAGGTGCTCCAGACTCATCTTGAGTATTTCTCGCCCCAGTTCTAGAGCGGGCCATTTCTCCAAGGCACACTGGCTCTTGTTCATGGAGGTGGTGCTGGAAACCAAGACCTGAGCAATGGCGCTCACTGCTGCTGGGTGCTGCTGCTTATCAGCCACTCAGCTGCCCGGGCCAGGAAATGTTAAAAGAAAAGGAATGCATAATTATTTTCCTTTTAACTCATGAGTATATATTTACTATAGGGGGGAAGGGGAGAGCTATTCTCCTTTTGGAAAACAAAACAAATAATCCAATGTCCATGGATAGAACAGGTGGCCTGAACATCCTCAAACCAAGGAGGTTCAACATGGGTCACGCACAGGGAACAGCTGGAATCTCAGGAAATCAGAACTGGTGCAAGCCTCTTGCTTTCCTTCTGGAAATATCTGCACGTTCAAGTGGTGCCATTTCCGCATGTTACACAGTTGTTGAGACTAGATATTCTTCTCTTTTTCTAGCAGATTCACACAGAGGAAATGACTACCACCACTTCCATGCTTGCCCTTTCAGACCAAAAGACCCAGCATTTTTAGGAACTAAATCCACACCCAGCAGCCTCTCCCGCTGGGGGGACAGTGACGAAATTCAGTGACATCTGTATTTGTCTAGAAACTCAGATAGCAGCTGTGCTTCAGCCGATTCTCTCTCGGCCTCCTTGTTGTCACTGCACCTGCCGACGCTAAATGTACTGTTGTGCTGACAGCAATGATTTCTTCTCAGAATTAACAGTCTAAGGAGGTGGGGGACACCTTTTATGCTATAACATTTAAATCCATCTCCTCAAAGCTTAACAGCCAGAACCCTTCCTAAGAAGGGCTACTAGCTCACCAAGTCCACAGCTTCCACAGTGACAAGCCAGGGTGTGGCCGGAGGACAAGGATGCCACACCCTTCCGACTGGAACTCACTAGTTAAGGGGTCTGCACAGCCCAGCAGGTTTCTAACTCCTCCTTTATAGCAGTTTCTTTTCCTGAAGTGTTGTGACTTCCTCCAAAACCCAACCTCCTTGTCCTCAAAGGAAACAAAAAGCTGCCTTGTGTTACTCTCTTATTGTGGCTCACCTGTGCCACAGCTTCTTTCTATCAATGCAAACCACACTGGTTTTTAATCTGTCCAGTTAGACTCTTCACTGGATTAAACTCTACTAGGAGAGGAAACAGTCTGCAGGGATTTTTGGAGATGGCACACTCCCATCCAGGGAGTCAGAACTCTGAGGGCCCAGCCTCTTCAGAAGGAGGATCGCCTCCTCCTTGGAGCAGCTCAGGAAACTTGACGTTAATGCCACACAAGGAGTAACCCAGGTGTTCACTCTACAGAGCAGCACTTACTCCTCTACCCACAAATTTCTGTCTAATACAGTATTAATGGGACCCAAAGACATCTGAGAATGTGTATCAGTGTTACAACATTAAGTTGAAAAAAACCTCCATTGTTTCTGAAATTATTCAGTCTGTCTGAGACCCGGACGCCAGCACTGGGCACCCTACCATCCTCCCCAACCCCAGCCCCAGGCCCTGTCCTTGCAGCCTGCACACAAGCTCTACACTCCTGTCCTCAAACAGTCCAAAACTCAGAGATGGACTCATTTTGATTGTCATGAGAGCAAACCCCCAGGCCACCCAGACTCCCGCGTTCAGTGCAGTCTGGTCCCTGGAAAAGGTAGCGACAGCTCTGAGGTAAGCAAAGGCCTTGCACTCCTGAGACCTGAAGTCGGAACCCAGCAACTCCACTCTGAAGAGCCCTAACTTCTCCTATCCACTCCCTGGGGCATTCCCACCTTTATCCCCGAAGGGCAGGGGAGCTTCCACAAAAGTAGCTGCAACCTGGTCAAGATTCAAACAAAATGAAAAGTGAGCTTCAAGTTACCTACTTTTCCAGGGTCGAATAAAACAGCTGCACAACACACCCAAACCAGGAGCTGTGCGAACAGAAACCTCTTGTCCTGAGAACTGAGAAACAGCAACACAGCTGACAGCAAGAGGAGGCCCGCCCCCACTTCGCATGTGTGTAAGGCATCCTCCCAGACACGGAGGATGAGCTGCAGTCCCCTCTACCCACAGTTTCACTTTCCCCAGTCTCAGTTGCCATGGTCAACCACAGTCCCAAAATATTAAATGGAAAACTCCCCAAATAAACAATTCATAAGTTTTAAATTTCAAGTCATTATGAAATAGCGTGATTAAACCTCACACTGTCTCACCCGGGATGTGAATTGTTCCTTTGTCCACCATCTCCCCACTGTCCTCACTCCTGTCCTCAGTATATACTCCCTGCCCATTCCTTAGTCACTAATCAAATCAGTTATCAAATAGACTGCCATGGTATCACAGTGCTTGTGCTCAAGTAACCCTTACTTTACTTAATAATGTCCCAAAGCACAAGAGTATTGACGCTGGCGATTCAGGTATGCAAAGAGAAGCTGTGTTTCCATGAAGTGAAAAGGTGAAAGTTCCCAATTTAATTTAAAAAACCCTGTATGCTGAGGTTGTCAAGATCTACATTAAGAAAAGTCTTCTAACCATGAAATAGTGAAGAAGAAAAAGAAAGTCATGCTACTTTTGCTGTTGTACCTCAAATTGCAAAAGTTAAGGCCACGACAGCATGTAAGTTAGTTAAGATGGAAGGCACTAAATCTGTGGGTGGAAGACATAAACAGAAAATGTGTTGCCATGTTGTGCCAGAAAGCATTGAGCCTATAAAAAGACTTTAGCAAGAAATCCACTATAATTAGTGACATTAAGCCCATGGTCGGTAAACTGCGGCTCGTGAGCCACATGCGGCTCTTTGGCCCCTTCAGTGTGGCTCTTCCACAAAATACCATTTGCGGGTGCGCATGTACAGTACGATTGAAACTTCGTGGCCCATGCGCAGAAGTTGGTATTTTGTGGAAGAGCCACACTCAAGGGGCCAAAGAGCCACGTGTGGCTCGCAAGCCGCGGTTTGCCGAGCCGCAGTTTGCCAACCACTGCATTAAGCCATTCATTGCAAGGTTACTGAATGGTTTTTACATTCTAAGGGATAGGTTTGGACTAAGAAATATAAAAATTGCTGGAGTGAGAGGGAGGGAACATACACATAACTTTTATTACAGTACTAGAGGCCCAGTGCACAGATTCGTGCACCAGTGGGGTCCCTCGGCCTGGCCTGTGGGGATCAGCCGAAACCGGCACTCCGACATTCCCTGAGGGGTCCCGGATTGAAAGAGGGCACAGGCCAGGCCAAGAGACCCCACCGGTGCACGACTGGGGCCGGAGAGGGATCGTGGGAGGGCTGCAGGGCATGTCCAGCCCGTCTCGCCCAGTCCTGATCAGCTGGACCCCAGCAGCAAGCTAACCTACCGGTCAGAGCATCTGCCCCCTGGTGGGCAGTGCATGTCATCAATGGTCGAATGAACGGTTGGACACTTAGCATATTAGGCTTTTATTATATTATTAGAGGCCCGGTGCACAAAATTCATACACAGGTAGGGTCCCTATGCCTGGCTGGTGATTAGTAATGAC